ACCGCGCCAGAATCTAAAGTAGTTTGGGCCAGTGTTTTCGCTCTGGGCGACAGGAGCAGGTCTGATTCACTATCAGAGAAATCACAAGGCCTCTTCCTCTGCAATGTTAAACATGACAAACTCCCTGTTATAATATTAGGATCAATAATGTTATTCAGCTGTAGGAGACATTGAGAAATGGCAAAGAGGAAAATATACTTTCTCATATGTTTTTAGCGAGGCCTTAAACAACAGAACGTTCATTCATATTTAATCAAAGCCCTACAAAACTAAAATGTGTTAATCTTTTAGGATTAAGCAGTTTAAATTAATAACTTTAATGTGTAAAAAAAAAAAAAAACATCAATCAAAAGTGAATTGGTTTGAAAGATCTGGGTCAAAGCCAAAAATAGAAACAAGGCTTTAAAATAAAACCTCTGCAATTATAAATGAAGTTCTTTCTTCAAATGTGGCCTACATTTTCTAAAATATGACTTTCATAAAGAGTAACTGTCTTTTTTTTAAATCATTTGATGGATACATTCTCTGTGAGCATGGTGAAATATTATACTATTTTCTTCTCGTTTTTGAACCTACACAAGAGGAGCACTAGTAGCATGAAATAAAGAATCACTCATTTCTGCAATAAGACGCCTCTGCACAGGGGGAAAAACTGGATCAAGTTCAAGTTCATAAGTGGTCTACAGGACTACAATCATATTGCGCCCCCCACCGACAAACCTTTTGACAATTACTCGACAATTGAAGGCATACATGTTGCGAGAGCATAATTGGTTTCTACCGAAATGAGAAGAGCATGCAGAGAAGCGTTTAGGACAAGAATAATTAAGGACAAAAGAAGCGCATGGCTCCAAATGTCCACTTAAACTCATAATTATAACAACCTGTGCATCTGGAGACGTCTGCATAAACTGTGGTAGCCTACACGGATGAGTGTATTGATGAAGCATTTCCTTTTGTAACCAGACGGATTACGAGGAGTCATTCTCCTGCAGATCTGAGTGTCACGCAAAATACCTCTCACGCAATCTCTTTTAATGACGGGTAGCATTATCACACGCGCGCGCATTAAACCATTTCGGGCTTCATGCACTTTAGTTGTAAAACAGTGTTGCGCGCGGAGATTCTTCTGTATCCACACACAATATGTCAGTTCATAACAATAGAAACGCTTATGTGCATTTTCCACAGCGTGTTCAAACAGCAGCTGTGAGGAATTTGTGGCACAGAAACTGTATTCCTTCTGCTTCTCGATAACGCGCACGAGGTCCCTGCGCTGTGGGTAAGTGGGTATGTAAACACCACTTCCCTGTGTTTCAAGCCAGCTCGAACCTCTGTAAGCACCTTCTGACGACAAAAAGAAGAGCGAGGGGTTGCTGAAGTGAAGCAGGTTTACATGCTGCACCTGGAAACTACAGAATGTGTAGGGGCAGCAGAGTGCCTCAGCTGCCTTCATATAGCCAAAGGTCTCCGCTCATAAAGCCCATGCATGCCCTTTAATGGCGAAAAGAAACCTTGAAAGACTGCGTTATACAACACGTTCGCCAACACAACTTAAAGCTGTTTTAAAACTTCTGTCAGAAGATTCCAAAATGTCTCTTTCAAAGCACCTGTGTTCTCTGAAAGGTTTGCGATCTGTAATTTCACTCAGGACAGCGGTGGGTCCGTACGTGGCTGCACTCTTACCTATTCAAATCCCCCTTAGGAAGTTGCCCTATACGAAAGAAACACAAGAGGCTGCTCTCCGAGAGGGGCAAGCAGCTAAATTAAGTCAATATATGATTCAGCTCCACTTACGCGAAAACTCCCGTTTGCTCAAGTGCTGGGGTTTGCCTTGCTTGCGGCGAGACATGTTGGTTTTGTGTCGGCTCTTCAGCTGAGTTCACATTGGGAAATCCGTTCCTATAAGGTAGACTCCAAGTGAAATATCTTCATTGATGCCTCTGACATCCAAAGAGAGGGGGGGAAAACAAGCAAAGAAGAAATGAAGTGCGGATCATGCAGAGGCTGAGGCGGAGCGCGCGGCGGGTCGTGCGGACCTCTTCATGACTTTTTCGCAAAGAGAGAGTGATGGGGGTACGGAGAAGCCCCCCTGAGCTGCAAGTTCAAGTGCGGACGTGACGTTCCTGCGAACTTGAACGTCAGGAGATGGACAGACTGAGACATAGAAAACATGGGCAGGGCGAAGCCGGCCAGGGGAAGGGGGTACAAGCCGTAATAAAAACCAATGGACACTCATTATGGACTACCTATGGAAGGGTGGGGGGGAGAGGGAGCGAGGAGAGACCCTGAAGACACCAATGGACAGGAGGGATCAAGGGGGTTGGGCTAAGAGAGTGAGTGAGAGAGTGAGAGAGAGAGAGAGAGAGAGCGCGAGAGAGAGAGAGAGAGAGAGAGAGAGAGGGAGAGAGAGAGAGAGAGGGGACTTGAGCTTTCCAAGGAAGTGGACGAGTATAAGCGCGTTGAGCAAACATAAAAAAAGCAGCCTTGTGGTGGAATATAAACCTGCTTTATTGCTTCATTCATATGAAATTACATTATATTCCGTGCAAAGATAGTCAGTCAATATTAAGTAGTAATGCAAATGTTAAGACAAGACTGGCTAATGTATTTTACATGTGTAAAAAGTCTGGTTGTTATTCTCTTTTTTGACTGGACTCGTTTTTATTTGATAGTCTTGGCAAGAGAGAACAGCTTATTCCCCATTATTATTTTTTATACTCTAAGTTTAGTTTGTAATGTCAAAACTTTCTATGCGGAATTTATAAGGAAAGGGAGATCTTAATGGGCTTCTTTTTATGTTATCTCGGCGAAAAAAGTATAATTGATGGCCAACATAGATTGTAATTATATGATCAGATAACATTTGGTATACATTATGAAAAAAAGTATTAAACCACTTCTTAACCCAGTCTTTACTCAAAGCTATGAGCTGATGCAGGTTTTAAGTCCCCTGGTTATTTGAATGTATCTTAATGTTTCCATCTGACAGGTTGTCCATGGGTTGTCCATGTGCTAGATAAGCAGAAACACAGTCAAACAAAGCGGAACACTTATGATAACAAACACACGCATAAAAGGAAGTCTCAGTTATTCAAAGGGCTCTAGAAGGGACTGCTGGAGAGTTACTGCGCAGTAATATAATGTTATATTGTTGTGATAATGTATACAGACTAAATCCAGTCTATTGAAATGATTTAGCGTCACTGTTTTATCGTTTTATTGTGATTTTACAGTCTTTGTGCAGGAGGAGCAACGGCAATAAAATCGTGCGATTTTACAGCAACGTGCAAACAGGTGAATCATTTGACGTTGAGTACACTCACCTTTTTAGAGAAAGAAATTAACAATGCACTGCAATATTTACCTATTTTTAAACCTTTTTTTTGCTGTAGCTACAAATTCTAATGTTTTTTTAACAGCAAAATCTGTTTAATGTTTGAATCCCTCAGAGACAGCTCAGAGGAATAATGAATGAAGTGTGACTGCACTTTGAACGAGAGGCTAATAACTGCAGTGTAGAGTAACCTCCAAGGATTATCGAGTTAAAACTATGAATATCAGATAGTGAGGGTAAATCCATACTTTCTCACATGCACACCATAGTCCTGATTTTTATATATATATATATATATTTTCTTTTTCTAAAACAGGCCTACGTTCTTAAATCTTTTCAAAGTAAAAACAGTGCATCAAAAATAGCTCATGTAACTACTTAATCAAGGAAGATCATTCAAATAACTTGTGTTCGATACTGTAGTAGAAATGTTTTGTTTCACATAATACTTTGTGATGGACTGGGTGGTAACAGTTAAGCCTATTGTTCTGTTTCGATGTCAGTAAAATGATTGGATTGTTTTATGTCGTTTGATGTCATTTTGAGTTCATCTGGTTTTCTTTGTTTTAAATGAATAACTAGGCTGACTGTTGCACTTCATCACAATTGTTTTTTTTGTTTGTTTTTTTTGCTTTTAAAACTACATGTCATAAAATCAGGGGCATTGATGAGGAAAAAGTCCCATCAATAATTTAATCTACATCATCTGCAGAATAATAGGCTACCGTAACGTTTCCATTTCAGGACAGCTCTCTGTCTCTGTCAGATCTGTGATCAGAATTACTTTCTCAAGTCTCATCAGGCCGGATAATATTTAAGCGTAATTCTTTGGCGCCATCTAGTGTTTTTATCCGAGACTGACACCAAGTGCACGAGTCGAGTACTACACTCAACACACTGTGTGTCGATGGTGTCAGATGGTGTTGTCTGGCCATGTTACACACATTTACCATGGTACGGAAATCACATAAGGCTATGCACACTGAAGGTCACTTTATCCTGGTTTGTTTTGAACAACATCGCACAGCTAATTTTTAAGCTTGTATAGGCTATATCTCTGTCAACCAATGTACAGTTTATGTTGTTGTTTGGTCATTATTGTGGTTTGTTTTCTGCTTGTCATTGTGGTTATTATGTGTATAGACTACTTGTGAACCAGCAGCCTGACGGAAATTAGCCTATGTCTACAATCTGGCATATTTAGGCTACATGTATGGTCACTGTCCCTGTTTTAAATAAACAAATCAAATAAATATATGTGTGTGTGTAGGCTATAATGAATATCTAATGGATGTCCCTGAAATCGGCTATATGTTCTTATTTTAAAATAGGCAGAAATTGACACAAATAGCCTATCCCCAAAAAAACAATAATAATAATCTTACAACACAAATCAAATCAATTTTTTTTTTTTTAAATAGACCACTTGTAATTCTACTTTTTTGCATATTCAAAGCCAACATTATCATTTAAAGATAGCCTTTATCTATATTTAGGCCTCCAATGCTTAGTCAAACATTTTTTGTCCAAAACCACATGGAATTTAGGCCACTCATGGTTCGCTGTCAGTACAGTGTTACATAACGGCATTATTATCTTGCTGTGAGCACATAGCGCCACCGTGAGGCCAAAACACGGTAGTGTTCGATGAGCAGGGCTGGGCAGCAGGTTTCTGGGGAGCAGCAGCAGCAGCAGCAGCAGCAGCGCTCATAATCCTCCTCATATCGGATGCTGATCGTCCGGAGAGCAGCTGGTGAGTGACATTTACGGCCCTCTGTTTGTTTTCTTATCACGAGCCCGCTTTGTTTGTCGCGTGCTGCCTCTAAAAGCACCGAGGATGGATGGAGACGGGCTGTGTTTGTGTGCGACAAACCTATAGCCCATGTCGTCCATAACGGGAGAGCCGTGGCTGCACATCAGCACACAGTCCCCAAACCTGATTTACAATAACACGTGAAATGTGCCTGCGTAATTCTTTTTTTAAAAAATTAGCCTGATGTGTGGCCACACTAAAGAGGGGTTTGCTGAACGTTAATGATGAAACGCTTCAGATGACATGTCGGTAATAAGCATTCACGGCAGACACACCACAGCTATACATTTTATACAACACTGAGCATGAGTCTTTGCTTAACACGTTCGTATTTTTTTACACATTTTTGGAAGTGAATACTCCGGTCCAGACTGTTGTCATCAGTAATTGGCTCCGTGTGGAAAAAAACGCTGGACTGAGACATGGCCTAACATGGCTAATTTCCAGGCTGTAGCATTGGCCCGACTAATCGCCCATCGGCTGCCTCCTCCTGCCTGTGAGCAACACTTGATGTGTTTTCATTTGCAGAGATTTATATCAGAGAGTGGACGAAAAGCCGTGTGTGGTCAAGCGTCTTAAAGGCAAATCTGGGCCACTAGAAAGCCAGGCCAAAACAAAAAAAAAAAAAAGGTTAACCCGTCCGTTCCCTCAAAGAGAGAGAAGGGGTGCTGTCAAGTCCCATTGGTGCCTTGCTGGTGCACAAACAAGAGCCCCAGATTTGACAAAGTGAGCGTAATTAAATCCCACATATTCACCTATGGCTCTTGTGAGCGTGAGTCAGCAGGGCCTGTGTGCTGATGATGATGCTCCTGCAGGAGGGAGAACCGGCTGTTTGTCTCTGGGAGAAGGACTATTGTGCTTTTTTATTTATTTATTTATTTATTTTTATGTGCATGGGAATTCTACACACTGCAAGGGAATCATATGAGACCATCATTAGAGTAGAGATGTAGGTTTTCGAGGACAAACATCACTACTTTCTTTATCTTCCGTCTGTTCCTCTGACTTCCTGCCTCTCCCTGCTCTGTCTGACTTTCTGCAGAGCATCAAATTAAATTAGCTGTCCTAATGCATGTTTCATTATGTCTGTTTTTGTCCAATAATCTGCCACCAAGTTATTCTCATTTTCTTCTTTTCCCTTTGTACAAAAGCTGACCTCCCCCTCTTTTCTTTTTTTTTTTTTGAAAGGTGTGTTGCTGAATTCGGCGACCAGGCAACTCTGCTGATCAATTCAATTTGGGACTAAAGTAGGTTGCTTGGATTTCTGTGAATCGTCGGTACATTGTGTCCACTTATGTCCTTAATTTAATGTTGTTTGAGCGCTACAGGGAGAGAAAGGCATGTCAGATTCCTCGGGTGATTCCTGAAATAGCTACTGAGCAGATGACACACACACACACACACACACACACACACACACACACACAGATGATGCTTCTATATAAACACGGAGCAGCATGCCTCATTCACGCCTCTTATCTCTTAACTTACCTTTTTATTGATCTAAGTCTGACTCATAGAAGAACCTCAGATACATAGATGGATAACTGACGTCTAACAGTGGCTCTGTTTTCAGCAGGATGAATTAAGGGTCAATGCTCAGCTCGTGAGGCAGCGATGAGTCTGACTTCCTGGTTCTTGGTGAGCAGCGGGGGGACGCGTCATCGTCTCCCCAGGGAGATGATCTTTGTGGGGAGGGACGACTGCGAGCTCATGCTGCAGGTACAGTGCTGTAACTCCTGCCTGACCTGTCATGCTCCCTCCTGATGGATTATCATCTGATACACTGAGATTAGCCTGGATTACAATGATTGACTGGATTTTGTGTGGTTCAGTCCCGCAGTGTGGACAAACAGCACGCTGTCATCAACTATGAGCCAAATACAGACGAACATAAAGTGAAGGACCTGGGCAGCTTGAATGGGGTGAGTGTTACATTTATCGACTATTCTGTGTCTCTATTGCTTTATTTACTAACTGTAAACAACAAGTCACTTATATATACTGAGGAAGAATCTTTAATCAAATGAAATATTTTGATAAGAAAGGTTTGTTATTGAAGGGTTTCAAGCATCGTTGATCACTTTTCAAGCCTCCCTCCACCCCAAAGAAAAGTTTTGCCTGTTTATAACTTTACTTGCATCTCTAAACTTCCCTTTGCAGAATGATGTTCGTCCAAAGTATCTGTTTAACATGTACCAAATTAATGTCCATGTGTGATGTGATACAAACTCGTGCAAAGACAGAGTGAATTAACAAGATTATTATTTTAGTCAGCCTAACATTCAGGATTAAGTCAATCTCACCAGCCCTCTGACCAGGGATCTGCTCTAGACACTTGTTTTTTTTATTTTACTGTTTATAAGACATTCACGAGAGACTTAAATAGAATAGAATAAAAGCCTTGCATATACATAAGATATTTTTAGGACAGAAAATTGCTGTGCTACGCAAAAATAAAGTCATGGGGGTGGCAGTAGCTGAGTCTGTCGGGACTTTGGTTGGAACCCAGAGGGTCACCAGATCAAGTCTTGATGCAGACCAAGTATAGGAGTTTGTGAATACTGGAGAGGTACTAGGTCAACCCCCTAGTACTCCAGATTACTGCCGAGGTGCCCTTGAGCAAGGCACCTAACCCTCAACAGTCAGTCTGGTGCTGCCTGTGTAGCAGCCCCACTCAGACACTGGTCCTGTTTGTGCATGTTTGTATTTCAGGCCCATGTGTTTGAGAAGCATGTCTCTCAATTACAGAGTGTAAAACCAGAATTTCCCCTTCATAAAGTATGTTAAAAAAAAGAAAAACATCCATAAGGGTTTAAAACTGTTATAAGATAAGTAGATAAAAAAAACAAGTTTAAAGAAAGTGCCTTCAATACATTCTTCAGTGTAAGCACACCTCTGTAAAGTAATGCACATTACAGGGATAAGATACATTTCACATATTATGTATAATAGGTATGAAGTTATATTGTACATGAAATGTGACAAGAAATGTTGCACATGAGAGGATTTTAGAAAAAAATACAATATTGCAACATTTTATATATTTTCAGCATGGTTATTAGTACATTATTATTGTACAATAAATATGTTGCACAGTAAAAGTCTGATAAGTATTTAACATTTAATGTTAATGCACCATAAATACCCCTAAACACCCCGTACTATTACACACAATGACAGGAAGAAAGATAGGGCGAGGGGACACATATCTAAAAGTCCCAGATACAGTCCAGAGCTGCCAGTTAGACAGCAGTGTTTGAGAAAAAAAGACTGCCCCTCTTTAAAGAAGACCCCAAGTGAGGAAAAGAAACAAATACCATAAAACAACAAAAAGCAAAACACACACTGGGGTTGGGGATCAGCCAGAATGTCAACCAGTACACCTGATCATGCAGAGATTCCATCTGCTGAAGGCAAACGTCTCCATCTCAGCAAAAGAAAGCATTTAACTAAACCCCCTCCTGAAACATGGAGGCACTGAGAGACTTCCTGTTGAGTTGAGTTTTTTTTTTAACAACACCGGCTAAAGATTTGTTTACTGGTTGTACACGTTGTTGCAGACACTGTTAAGTCCAAACTGGTGCTGTAGTACTCGAAATTAGTCTTGAGACCACTTTTTGAAGGTCTCGGTCTCAGAAAGTGTTTTCACTCTGTATTGTCTCGGTCTCAGACTGGACCAACCACCATTGATAGGCTATTTTCCACACCATTACTGTGATTGAAGGAAATTGCCCCTTTCTAATAATACAAATAACTTTGATTTTTATGCCCCGGTTACGTCCACTGCCTTCTTGGTGTTATGGTCTAAGTGGTGACACGCCTGCTGCACAAAGTTTATGATTTTTAGTGATATTTATGGTCGGTCTCACCCTGCCTTGGTCAAGTCTTGACTCGGACATGATCCCTAAATGTCTCGGCCTTGTATCAGTCATCGGAGCACTCTGGTGTCGGTTGTGTCTTGGTCTTGGTTAAAGTGGTCTTGAATACGACACCAGTCTTAACATCACATTACATTACTGAACAGTCATATTTGTCCCTGATGTTCGCACTCTGCTTTTGTTTGCAGACATTTGTCAACGATGTCAGAATTCAGGAGCAAATCTATGTCACCCTGAAAATAGATGACAAGCTGAGGTTTGGGTACGATATCCTTTGAATATGATCTTTTTTTTGCATCTGTTGGAGCATGTGACACACAGCACAAGGTCAGTGTACACAGACAACACTGTAACTGTATCTGTTCTTCAATGGCTGTGAACGCTCACTGCCCTCCGCCTGATGCATAATAGATGAAACCATCAGTGCACATTTCCCAACCTTGCAACGTCTTCTTTTCCTCAACCTGCCTCACATACCAACCTGTTCACTGTGGTTCGAGGAGAGCTGCATATTCCAGAGGAGGCCCTGAAGGTAAGACCATATGACATGCATGTTCCTAGAAACTAGAAGGGGGAGATCATATGTAATGAAGGCTGTTGTGTTTTTTCATCAGTAAAAAAAAAAGAAAAACCAGAAGGGTAGAATTTAGTCGAAGGGAGAGAGGAATTCTGCTGAGCTGAGCAAAATGCTACTTTTTGAGATTGATGAATCAGCTGTTTTATACAGCAAACTGCCCAGGTGGCTGTAGAAAGGAGGGGATTTCATCTTAATAAGGGAGCTGAAAGTTCAGCCGTGATATTCGCAAAGTCTTCTCAATTATATGCTGTGTCTGAGATCAAAAGAGAAAGAAAATGTGCAATAAATGAATGATTTAATTAAGTCTGGCTGCCCTTCTGTAGATGGAAGAGCATTCGACAGTGATGATTTTCCTCCCTCTCTCCTGAAACTGTCCTTGCACAACTCTTTTTTTTCCAGCATGAGAAGTACAGCAGCCAGCTCCAGCTGAGCCACAAAAAACCTCCGCAGGGGGAACCGTCTAAATCTGAGGTGAAACCCTCTGAGACAGCAGCAGCACCTGTGTGCGAGGGGGCCGTCACCAAGCCCCCCGAGGCCAGCAGAGTGGAGGATAAGGCTACAGGTGAGAGTGTGCAAGGATGCAGAGAAATACAAATGGAGCATGTCATTACTGTGATTATGGATCTCTAATCTAAATCTAAAGAGGCTGCTTCTACACATGTATAGATATCTAAGCACAACATTTTGAAGGTTATTGTGTTTGAAGAATTTTAGTACCTCGAGTTTTTTTTACTGGTTGTGAAACTGACTGAAATGTATTGTGATGCCATATGATCTACAGCAGGGGTTCCCAAACTTTTCAGCTCATGACTCCAAAAATAAGGGTGCCAGAGACTGGGGACCCCCTGTTTGCTCTGGAGGTGTTTAAGGCATATAATGGAGCACACAGCCGCTCACATGCACTAATAAACCTGTCCAAACACTGGCAATAAAAAAAGAACAACACAAAAGATTACAACAGCCTAGAATCCATTAAATGATTTTATATAGCACTTCAGTGTGAGAAAGTCTAGCACCAGAATACATGTCATTTCCATTAAGCACTGAGTGGCCAGACAAGAAGTATTGTTGCTGTTGGATACAATGGGTCGAATATACAGTTTTAAATGATTTTCATATTTTTATTGGGTTTTTTAGAAGGCATGTGGCGACTCCTCTCTTGGTGGTCCGCGATGCCTTGAGGGGACCTCACACCACCGGGAGGTTTTCATGTATTTAAAGAGGCCAAGAGTAGGATAGGCTATCCCCCCCCCACACACACACACACACAATGGAGTTCAGTTGACACTGGCGGTATTGGTGGTGGCCATGAAGGAAGGATGTTGGATGAGGGGTGGACATCTAAAGAACTCAACTTAGACATGATGAGATGAGACTGGAGGTGACTGGGGTGGGAGAGGAAAATAGATTTAAAGTTTGGCATCAGCAGGATGATTGGTTGATAGATGTCATAGTGAAATATGACTGGTTTAATACTGAAGAGCAAACCCCTTATCAGCTGATCCCCAAGCAGAAGAGATGAGTATGAAACAGTCCTCCTGCTTGAACTTACGATGAGCTTCATATGTTTTTGCAGGAGATTTAGCGGTGCTGCAAAGAGGTACGCCCCTCTATGGCCAGCCCGCCTGGTGGGGAGACGGAGAAGCTGAGGACCAGCAACATGGAAGGCCTGAGGAAAAAGGCTCAGAACGGAAGCGAGAGAAAGTTGAAACAGGTATTTTTTTGTGACCTTTTCATAGGTTAGGAAGCATGTAGATTGTATTATAACACTAGGTGTTTCACAACCCGACTATAAACAGATATGAATATGTTCAGACTTCACAAATACATCAGTGCTTTTTCTTACTTTTGTAAAGTTTAAGGCGCTACATTCAAATGTATGCTTTATGTCTGACAGACGCCAAGAGGAGTACAGATGTCTCAAAATCGGCCCCAAAATCAGCCGCCAATCAGGAGCCCAGCTACTTTGAGATCCCTACGAAGGACACGACCTCAGCAGGTAAAGTGAGCAGTGACGACCCCGCAAGAGAGCAAGAGGCCGCGGCGTCTTCTGCTGGCCACGCCTCCTTCACCATCGAGTTTGACCCGGGAGCGTCGAGCAAAGTGACAGTCAAAGATCGAGTGGCGAAGGTGGGACCAGAGACCAAGCCGCGTCCTAAAAGGCCCGGCGGCGAAGTGCTGAGTCCACTTCAGACAGCCATGGTTGCTGCGGAAGTGAAAGTTGCTGATTGGCTGGCTCAGAACGAGCTGCCGCTGGCTCTGAAGGACACGGTTGCCGAAGAAGACGGGGAGAGTGTGAAGAGTGATGTGCCTGTACAGCTGAAGAGTCTTAAAGGTGTGTATGTGCTTTGTTTACTTAAATCTCATATGGACTAAGCCTCTATACTTTGAGTCTTTTTTAACATTCTGCACATTCATTTTCTCTATCCCTCCAATACCAGGCAGTAAACATGAGGACGGTACTCAGAGTGACTCAGAGAATGCAAATGGAGAGCAGCGTAGGGCCGCAACTCTGGAGGAGCGCTCATGGGGTCTTTGGGGCGGTGCAGGGATGAAGTTCAGAGAGGGTCGCGCTAACGTCCCAGAGGGGCTTTTTGCAGAGGAAGACAGCCCCGCTCGCCGTCGCAAGTCCTCCACTTCCAAAGTAGCAGTCGGATTAGTTGAGAGGAGACATGACTCTGCAACACATCAGCAAGGCGGCCGGGATGACTGCTATCAACGCGGCGATGATTATAGTGACAAAGGGACTTACACTATTGAGCTGGAGAATGGAGATAATGAAGAGGAAGAGGCAAGGAAAATGATCGACAAGGTTAGGCGGAAACACCTTGTAAGAAAGGCTCTTTTCTTTTTTTTTTGATTACAAACAAAAAAAGACTGCTATATGCATGTGTTTTGTGTGTTCACGTTTTTATGTTCTTGTTGCAGGTGTTTGGTGTGGAAGAGCAGGAGGCTGTGTGTGTGGCCAGGATGGGGGGTGCTGACCACAGAGAGAGGCTCAACTCCCAGAGGTCTGGTACTGGAGACAGAGGAAAGCCAGGACGTGTGGAGACAGAGGTGCAAAAACTATACGCCCTAAAAGTCTTGCTAAAAAAATAATAAGGAAACCAAAATATCTTTGCAAGTTTAATAAGTTTAGACTTTCTTTATTGTCATTCAAATTGTAAACGACCAAACGACTATTTACTACTATTTAAACACTATGATTTTTAATGTTGTCTTTACTTAGGTACTACCTGAGGAATTGGTTGTGGGTGGTCCCCGCTGGGTCTCTCAGTGGGCTACTCTGGCTGCCAGTCACATCAGGACAGACCCTGAGGGATCGGGAGGGGAGAGTCACATCATGGTCACAGAGGACAGAGGTAGTAGAAAATATTTAGGTTATTTATTTTATTTCAAGGGATCTACCCTGAATGTTGCCAAAATTAAGCATTGATGCCAACTTTGGTGTCATTCTTTTCTCATTGTTTAGGTAAAAAAAAAAAAATGAAATCAAGACTTTTGATCTTTCAAAGTTAAACTTGAGTATAAAAATTTAAAAAAGAAACACTTAAGGAAAGTTGTAATGATACAACACCATATGAATGCAGCAGAAAGGCAGGCAAACTGACTCCATAGTTAGTCATGCTGACACATGCTAAAACCAAGCGGCACCCTGCAGTGTTAAAAAATGAAGCCAATTTGGATGTGCAGGAAACCGCAGTTCCTCGAGTGTCCACTTGGCTCTGGCTGCAAAGGTCCTGGAGATATCAGGGGGGATTATGTGTAAAACAGCATTAGGGAAAGGCTTTATGAACCGTAAAGGATCCTTAAACACCTCTTTTAAGATTTATTTTTGGGCTTTTGCCTTTATTTGGATTGGACAATGGATAGAGTAGTGAATGGGGAGAGAGGGTGGGGAATGACATGTGGTAGGTCGGACTGGAACCTGGACCTCTGCTTGGAGAACTATAGCCTCCATGCAGGGGAGGGTGACCACTAGGCCATCATCTAAGACACAAATTTAAGCACTTGTTCTCCTATCATGCCACATATTGTTGAAAGATATTAAACATTGTACTGACAATTTGTTTGTCTCCTTTCTCAGCAGAAATTAGTGAGTCCAGCCACTCAGCCTCTTTTGCCTCATCTGGCTACACAGAGCGTAAGAGAAGAACCCTGCCCCCACTGCCGGGTGAGGAGCTGGTCCTGGGGAGGAGGATGCCAGGTTCAGGCCTGCGGGTAGATATGGGGGAGAAACAAGACACAGAGCCACAAGAGAAGGAGAACCTGGAGGACAAGATGGGCAGGGGAAAGAATCGACCCGGTCATGGAGCTGTGGGCAGTCATGGTGGCAGCCCTAGTCGTTCCTCACCAGCCAAGTCCCAGGACAGTGGAGGGGGGAGATCAAGCCAGTCAGGTGTGATGGCCAAACTCCCCCCTCGTTCCCTGACCAGTGGGGAGAAGAGAAGAGAGGAGGCACAGCGGAGGAAAAAGGAGGAGGAGAAGGCCAGGGAAAGTGCTGGAAAGCCATTGCTGAGGCAGGAGAGCTTCACTGTGGAGAAACCGAGCTCCAACGTGCCCATTGAGCTCATCCCTCGCATCGATGGGCTTAAACAAAGCAGAACTCAGAGTAAAGGGAAAGGCATCGACAGCACTACACTGCAGAAAGACTCGGATGCTGTGGCCGCCTTTTTAGAAACCACTGTATCAGACCAAGGTGATCCTATAAGTCAGTCCATTGAAGGCTCCATGTCACCCGAGTCAGACGTGGACACGACGAGCACAGTAAGCCAAGCCGAAGGAGCGAGGAAAGTAGTCCAGAAACGGCGGACTCTTGCGGCACAGCAGAAGGAGAGGACGGTTCTGTGCTCGACGGGTAAAGGTCCTGCTGGGGCCCGCGAGAGCCAGGACAGGAGGGTGAAGACAAAGACATCAGGTCCTCAAAAGACCAGCCGGCCCTGGACTTCCTGTGATCTCACTGATGATGACGTTAACTCCAACTCTTTGCTCTCTGACTCCCAGCCCACCTCTACACAGGAGTCTAGAAGCTCCCATACCAGAGGCCAGACTGGGAACACCACATTAGGGGCCAGCACAAAGTCTAGTCGGGCTAAAATAACCCAAGCTCCTGCCTCTTCAAATAGTAAATCCACCAATGTTACCAAACCAAGGCCAACCAGAGCGTCCCTGCTGAGACGAGCCCGGCTCGGGGACTCTTCAGATACTGAACCTGCTGATATTGACCGGATGTCAGTGGCCTCTGAGGCGTCGACCACCAGCTCTGCATCGAGGACAGGGATGGTAAAAAGAGGAATGTCCAGGATAGAGGCTTTAGCACAGCCGAGGAGACCTAGGGTCGGATCCCCCTCAGCTCAAAGCGACTCAGAGGCCACTGTGACACGGCATAGAGGTATGGGGGCCCGCAGTGTTGCAGGTGATTATGCCCTCAGACAAGGACTGAGAGGATCTAATGTCACCTCAGTGTCTGGACCCAGAGCCAGGGCCAACAGTGCCTCTAAGCTGCCTGACAAGAGTAAAGGCACCTCATCGTATTCCCACGTCACACCTACATGTAAGTTGTAGTTTCATTAAAGAACAATTTCCTTTAATGGAATTTGAAATTAAAAATAGTTTCAGACCTGTTTCAAACTGATACTTAAATTGCAGGAACATTAATCAGCTCCATTCTCTCATAATGTAAATAGAAACAGAATGTGTGATTTGCAAAAGATTGAAACCCTTTTTTAATTGAAAAAAGCACAAAGACAACATTTTAAATGTTGAAACTGAGAAATGTTAGTGTTTTGGAAAATTATATTTACTCAAAACTACACGTGTAAAAAAAACATTTTAGTAGTGTGTAAAATGACAATAAATGATATATCATGTGATATATGTAATATGAGTTACTCTTAGAGACATACCATGAGAAAACGATGACCTAACTCTGAAACTCTGCAGAGCCTTTTAGCATCTTTGAGCTCACTGTTTTGGTTTTAAAGTCAGTTACTTTTTGTTTTAGTTTTCAACCTCCAGTTGTTTTCAGCAGTTGCATACCTACACAGCACCAAACAGAAATGATAAGCTCACTAGTAGAGCCCGATCGATCCGACTATATTAGCATACCAAATGACAATGGTTATCGGCTAATTTTATGGCCGATATGTGCCGATCTTGCTAGATTTATTCACCAGTCAAATATAATTTAATTTGAGTATCATTGTTTTAAACTAGCAGTTCTCTTTCACCAGCAGAGGGCGCTATATGGATTACAGCAAACATTATCACTCTCAGAGTGTCAAGCATTGACGCATGTACATGCACAGTTACCTTCCAGTTGAGTGACCATCTTCTCTTCATTAAATATATTTTACACAAGCGTCTGATAACTACAACTACAACGCAATAAATGTGTATATATCTATATATCTCTACAGATTGAACATAGAACCGCCAATTTATCTGTATCAGACTTTTTCTCTCCCCAGAATCAATATCGGCCCCAAAAATCGGTCGGGCCCTACTAACTAGGGCAAAATAATTTCCCCACAGTTTGTGGTGACTAAAACAAAGCTCAAAGACAGTTCTCATAGGATATGCATTGGTAGGATTGCCAAATAAATGACTACATATCAACAGTCAATCAATCTTCATGTGTATAGCGAAAATAATAGTTTCAAAAATGTTACAAATAGTCATGACATTTAAATAAAATGCAGGTCTAAATTACTCTTTGTGGTATTATTTTAAACCCAACATAAAACAGCACTAAGCAACATTTAGCAAAGCAGAGGCAGAAATCTGGATCAGAACCAGACTCATGTTGAACATCCATCTGCTGAAACTGTGTTGGGGTTGTGAGGGGACAAACTGTATTAATGCTAATGTCTTATATGCTAACATTTTTGTAATATCAAGCTACCCTAAAGCATCCCAAACAAATCAATCAAAGCACCAAGTAAACGTTATTTCCTTTCTTTTCTTTCACCAGCTAGCACTCGATGGCGCCGCGTGCCTGTGGAGTATGCGTCCACCTCGGAGGACGAGTATGGCTCAAACCGTCACTTATCCAAGCAGAGTCAAGCACGGGCGTTTCCTTCCACGCGGGTAGCTCAGCTGGGAGGGTCAGCCCCGGCAACTCCTAATCCTGCAGGCCTAGCGGGCCTGAAACAGCACTCGAGAGAGCAGGATGAGTACATGAGAGACTGGACAGCACACAGTGAGGAGATAGCCAGGTACTGTAGATGAGAGGTGCTTCAGTGCTGTTTGAGAGCAATGATGAGTCATGATTACTATATTTAAACAAAACAATCATGTTGAGAGGAAAAGGTGGTTGTAGGACGTGGTTTGAATGTTTTTTCAATGTTTTTGTTTTGTTTTTGGCACTGCTTTTATTATTTATAACGTATTTTATTAAGAATTAGATGAACGTAAGCAAATAACGTGACGTGCTTAACATTTATCAGATGGTAACTGTATTATTGTTTTTACTTCAGGATAAGCCAAGACCTAGCCAAAGACCTTGCCATGCTGGCCAGAGAGATTCATGATGTGGCGGGAGAGATCGACTCAGTCAGCCCTGCAGCCGCTGACCCTGGAGCTGTGGTATTCAACACATTATTAGAAAAACACAACATTATCTTTATTATCTTCTAGATTCAAGTAACAGAAAAACATCAAGATTTGTATTCATTTTCTGCGTCACAGATTCAACCTGTGGTAACGCAGTTTAGATTCTAAGCAAAGTACATTTTGTAATTGATCAAAAGTAGGATCTGTTAAAATAACATTTCTTGTAAACGCATTTATCTTCCAGCTGAAGGAGCGTGTATGTGATGACAGCTTGGACCTCGATGGACCTGCAGAGAACAACAGCATGGGAACCAATGGGAGGTCTGTGGAGCTTCGACCCCGGAGCTCAAGTGGACAGAGCGCCCGCTCCATCCGCAGACAGACATGGAACAGAGACGACGTGAGTCCCTGTTTCAATATGAACTATTATCCTGACATTGTACACTCATTCTGCTACCATTGGGCTAAAGAAAGTTTGTTATTTAGACCTATACAATCTTCTCTTTGTTTTTAGTTTAAGTAAGGAAAATCAATGTAATAACTTACGGGAAGTGTTCGCTGCAGTTTGGTAACTCATCCAAGAACATAGATATTAAACTTTGCTGCTTCACTCTGTGACTGTTCAATGTTGCAGCAGTGCAGTGTGTTTGTGAATAATTATGTAGTAAAAGATCATCATGTCTGACTATATCACAAGTGCTCCACTAGAGGGCGCTCCAAACATGTCCAACGGTCACTCCTCAACAGAACAGTGCTTCTGAAGGGAAATCTATTTACTGAGCTAAAAAGATTACATGTTTGTGTAGTATTGAAAAGGATATGTGCTTTAATGTCATACCCTGCTTTTTCAAACATTCATTTGCATTTCGTGGTATTGATGAATAAAATGAAGTGTTTCTCCTCATCATCTCACAGGGGGTACTAGACAGTTTACTTCTAGCGTCTGTGACCCAACTGTCCACAAGGATACGTCAGTCTGTTGACAAAACAACCTGCAAAATCAGGTAAGCCGCATGCTGAATTACAAAACAGGAAGAAGGTTTATGAATTTAGTTTATGAGGAACTTGCAAATTCATCTGAGTCGGTCGTCTCTCAACCGGAAGGTCAGGGGTTCGATCCCCAGCTCCTGCAACCACATGTCTGATGTGTCCTTGGGCAAGGCACTTTACCCCCAGTTGCTCCCGCTGCTTCGTCTGCGGTTATTAGTTATCTCTGATGTAAACAGCAAACTCTTCCATCAGTGTGTAAATGTGTAGGTGTGACCGCCTGCGGTGTAAAAAGAAGACCAGAAAAGTGCTATACAAGCTCAAGTCCATTCACCATTTTATAAGGGACTCCTAAACATATAAAACATGTCACACAAAGGACAAATAACAGACAGACAACGAACAAAAAATATACCAGACCAAAACGTTAGCAGCGTTCAGCAGTAAAACGTGCATCACTGGTCAGATGATGCTTCACTTCTGGTTTTAAAATCTTCCAAACTAATGCGATGCTCGACTCTGTAGCTCAGACCAAGATAAGGGAGCCGAAGATATTAACCCAAGACAGAGCACGCTTCCTTGAGTTATATAGATGATGAGCACATGAAGCCGAAAGTTTTTAGGAATCAGGAGTGAACATAAAGAAAAGGGCAGTCAAAGAAAGATGAGCCAACGTTTCATCATTCTGTTTTATAAGAGAGATGAAGCAACTTTCTTATACAAGACACAATGATATGTGCAGACAATGAAACCAGAGACAGAGGTATCCGTCATGTAAAGCCAAATAGAAACATACTGTTGCTGTGTTGTTAACATCCCTGCAAGTATTTTATGCAAGAACTAGGCCGATTGGAGTGGAACAACAAAGGTTTTCACTGACAAGCAGATGACAACTCAAAGCCTGTTTTCCTCTTTTCTATATTTTACAGACAATGCATGAATCAAGGCATGTTAATAGTCAAGAAACACTTCCATGAAGATATGAAATGTATTTTCATGTTTTTTTCCTGTCATCTGTTTTTGGACTAACTCGGTCTCCAGGATCCTCTTCAAGGATAAAGAAAGAAATGGGAGGAGATAGAGAGCAAACTGCAGGCAGAGCATGATTCCTTACTGCTCAAGAGCTCCAATAAGGTGACTGACCTGTACACTTCTCATTCCTCTGCTAAGGCTTATGACAAAGACTAAACAGCCATGATAGCTGCATACATCTAGGGCTTCTCACCGATAACAATTGGGCATAGTGCAAGAAAGCCCAAGCCACATCCCCTTCCAGAGGGGCGTGGTCAAATACAGCTCACGTGCATTATAAAGCTACAGACACAGAAACAGCCTGTTCTGAGCACGCCCGAAATAGGGGGGTTTTAAAGGCATGATCAAATACAGGATCAGAGTGGATTTCTGGCAAGAAACTTCTCAAACATTTTTTGTGGGACCTCTTGAGACTTATTCAAACGTGTTGAAAAGGAGTATATTATGTGTGGCCTTAGTATGTGCTGTAGCAGCTGAAGGATGAAATGTACGACTCTTCAGTCCTTGCACTATTGTTTCACTTTAAAAGTCACTTGCTGAAGCGGAAAGCACACCAAATATGATTACTTTTATTTAGAAAAAGAAATTGTAGTCAGCGTTTAGGGAGTCCACAGAACTTCGTTGTAGTCATAAATTCTGCCTTCAAACGAGTCTGACCTCGTGTGAACCCCTGAGCAGAAATGATATATGAATCCAGCACACAGTCTCAGGGCTCATAAAGCAACACTGAGTGTACAAGGCTCAGCTCCAAATGTATTGCTGCAGTTCCAAATAGATGCATAGAGGTGATTTATTTGGTGTTTGAACTTTCAGTCACTTAACTACTTTTAATTTGTATTCATGTTTAATAGGAGATTTCAACCATCCTTCAAGACCTGAAGAGAGTGGAAAAACAACTGCTAAGTATGGATATGATGCTTTAGTGTTGTGTTTTTTGTATACTGTGACACATCAAATTTAAAGGGCCACTATTTATTATTGTTTGTAACTGTGTTTTTAATGTTTGTTCTGTGCCTTATCTGACAGTAATCGACATGATGGTGGATGCAGACGGCACCCTGGATGCCCTGTCCACTCTCGGCCTGACCAGCCCTCTGACAGACCAGAAGATCAGCCCCGGGACTCAGCAGGAGGCGTCATTGTTGCCTCCTGCAGCTGGAGCTACATCCAGACCTGAAGGACTAGCCAGCAAGCCCTGTGGACCTTTGGACCATGCAGGGAACCAGCGAGACCCAGGGTCCAAACAAAGCTCTAGATCCTAAAACTGATAACACCAAGGACATTATTCAGAATGCATCTTTTATGTTAGACAGACATGCTGAAGACATTGTTCAGGTTTTTTCTTTTGGTTTCAGATCAAAGAGGGAGGAGAATGAAGTCCTTTCAGCGGGAATACCTGACTGCCTTGACTATCAATCAAACTCAATTGTGATTGGACTGACTAAAAATCCATCACTACCAAAATGCAGCTCATAATACGATAAACAATACAAAAGCATTACTCTGTCAATGTGTCGACTTATAAAGAAATGACCTAATATACAGTTACACATCTGTGACCTTTGTGTTGCAGTTTACCATCCATTAACCTTGAAAAACGTTCAAAAGATCTGATGTTGAAGATGAGAGGATGTCCAGAATGAACTTTCATAACTCTTTTTTTGTTTGTCTGTTTGTTTTAATCTGAGCGTCTTTGACTTTGACAAAGGTCAATTCCTGCCATTTAATAACAAGCTTTAACATTTTTTGGTTTGGAGCTTTTCTTAGCTAAAGGCTGATGCAAGACACTCAAACTTGAACGGTGCAACGTTGTCAAAAGAAAAGTATTCCAGCAGAGGCGTATGTGAAAAAAGTTATTTTACCATGCCATAGAATTATTTATAGTAAGAAATCTATCCGTTGGCCTGTTGCCATCGCAATCCCCAAACCTGACTCAGTAGTGAATTTCCATCAGAAAAGGCAACACTGCCTGTTTGCTTGGAAAAGAACTGAGTATGTACAGTATAAATGTGTATTATTATTTGTGTTACAGTCCCATCCATGCCTTCTTTTTTCTTGTTGCAATGCCCTTTGAAACCATTGTTGAGACTATGTGTTTATAAAACCTTTAACATCAAATGTAGCCCCCACAAAGGTTTTCCTCTTCAAAATGTAATTTGTCACAAGTGCCCTATTCCAAACAATCAAACCAGTCACAGATAAGAGATGTGAAAGTGTATATGAGGTGTTGAGCTAGAGGTGGTCTTTGTTTTTTGCACATTAATAGCTGATATATGTTATAAATCATATCTAAGGGACCACCAGAACATTGCTCGCCCCCTGTGACGCTCCTTCATCATGTTGACGTCGTCGACCACAAACAAAGCAGGGAGACAGCCGGCTGCCTGTGGACCAAACAGTTTGTCAAACGACTTTCTGATCACAAGTGCAACGTTGCGTCTGAACCAGCATAGACCGGGGCTACCTCCGAGTCCTGCAGCTGCATTTGATTGTTAACGATGCAACAGAAGGGTGGATGGTGTGATGACTGTAGGGTTTTCCAATGTCTTGCCTCATATCAATGTTTACACATGAATGTAACCTGATCAGAACTGTTGAAACATTTTAGCCAAATCAACTTTAATAAAGGTTAACAACTGCATTTTGTGTTCTGCGCCTACAGTATTTATTTTTATTCTGTTTGAGCATTTGGAGATTTTTTATTTGGTTGTTTTGTATGAACCTTTTTTTTTTTGTAATGATTTTAGGGTAATGTTGACCTTGCAATACCTGTGTACTGTTTGTCTCATTTCCAATAAAATGCATGATTATCATGACCTATCATGACTCTTCTCTCAGTAATTCTACTGCAGTGCATGTTCATAGTGTTGATTGAATTTGCGATGAACTTAATGCCCGGCTTTTACATTTAATTGGCATCTGTGATAATGTATAAGTTGCAAATATATATTTGACATGCAAACACAATGTCCACCATCTACAACTGTGATTATCAACTGGTGGCCCGCGGGCCACATGAGGCCCCCCTAAGCTTCCCATCTGGCTCCCAGAATATAAATAACCTCTGGTGATTAAACAATAAACATAAAAATAAAATCAAAAGGCTGAAATACTTGCATTATGTTAATGTTCGAAATTTCATTTACCCTCTTACACCAACTTCTTCACATCGGTCTTGACAGCTGTCAGGCTTTTGTACAAACATATTTTAAAGTCCGGCCCCCACGGTGTCTGTCAAGAAAAAAGCTGGCCCTCGTATAAATGTAGTTGATGACCACTGCACTGACTACAACATTAAAATGCTTCTTACATGTTTGTGCATCTCACCCTAACCCTAACCCTCAGAATATAACACTATAGGGTCATTTGCACTATTAGAACTTTCTTTTAATTAATATTAATAACACAACCACCATCACCCCTAGTGGGGACATTTGTTTTTCTCTCTTTTCTTTCACATCTAAAAAAAATATTTATTCAACCTTTTCTTTTTTTTTCTTTATGTCTTCTTCTGTTTTACAAGAGGAGTTTAGTGTAAGAATGTGATCATTACATACAACACAAATGACACAGAAACAAACTGATTTTTTCCATCATCATAATCCATAATCCATCCATTTCAAACAAGAAAAACAACAGCGGACAAAAACTTGACAATGTAATTTATACAACACAGGGGCGAACAGTCATACAATAACAATTACGGATAAGCATTACAATATCCCAAACTGGCTCAACAATATACTATAGAGTGTAAAAAGAAAGGTAAGAAAGGCATTTTCATTTTTTATTTAGAGATAGGACAGTGGATAGAGTCAGAAATCTGGGAGAGAGAGACGGTAGGGAATGACATGCAAAGAGACAGACTGTAGTCCTTGTTGAACTGGTTGCAGGTTTTGGCTCCTGATCCTGACATTATCTGGTGCATATCATCCCCCACTCTCACCTTTCTATCTCACCTTCTATCCTCAAGCTGCACTGTCCAAGAAAAAAAAAAGTAGACATAAACAGGACAAAACCAGCAAAGGCCTTCATAGTACTGCTTTGTCAACAGGGGTCACCAAAAACAACATAAACATTTCCTCACCGGAGCTTAAAGTAAGTTTCAACTGAATCTACCTGCTTGAACTGTACAAGAGGAAACAATTTCCTTTTCATTGTAATGAAGGTTTAAATTAAAATCTTGCCTCTGATGCCACCGTCCAAAGCTTTATCCCACCCCCCTCCTTGTCTTGCCTCTCTCTCCTTCTGTGCAGAGGCAAGTTCACACCACAAATTAAGTTTCCGAGGCCCCTCTGCCGGAGCCGCTGCACTACTAATTGTATGTCTCCAGATATTCTGCTCTACTTCCTTAATCCTTAAAGCTGTGTCAGGGTTTTCCTCCCTTGCGATCAACATTTACTGCAACTGCTGGTGCACATCAGCGCTTCTGCAGGTGTTCACCTAAGTGGGAACAGTTAGGCTAACTTGTTTCAAGTTTTAATAAGTTTATGTTCCCACTAGAATTCATTGCTGCACTTGTACTGCTTGTATTCATTGCAAAGAAATAAAATCTCCATAATTCTGCAGCTCTTTTGACTCTGAGGTTTCAGTCTGGACCACCTTATGATAAAAATTGTGTGTTTATGTGCCCATGTTGATATGTACGGAAGAGACAGAGCCAAACATGAGAAATAAATAATGATAGGAGGAAGATTGTTTTTATTATTATTAAAAGGCAAAATATAGAAAGAGAAAAAGTCAATATGTCGAGAATATACTTGAAGTACAATTTTGTGAAATTGTAATCTGTAATGTGAAATAGTTTTTTAACTTTGATCTCAATATTTAGACTTTCCTCTGGTCATATCGACATTTTCCAACTTTTTTCTCAAACTGCATAATTAAAAAATCTTCCGCCTCTTATTATTCATTTCTCATGCCTGGCCCTCTTCCATATATATATATGGAATTGAAATATAGATATATAGATACCCGACATGTAATGCAAAGCATGTGCCTTTTCAGTGTAATTTGAGCTGCCAGTGAGATTAAGCACCTCTGCTGCAACAGAGTGAATAAGATGTATGATGCTTGGCAGTGTGTGTGTGTGTGTGTGTGTGTGTGTGTGTGTGTGTGTGTGTGTGTGTGTGTGTGTGTGTGTGTGTGTGTGTGTGTGCAGGATACTGGAGGAATTTATATATTCTACAGCATTTCATAGACAGACCATCATTGCATATGTGAGTTGGGGAGGAGAACAGCAGGAAAAGAAAATGCTTTGTCAGCTAAAAGACTGTATAAATCCACAATAGAGAGATGAAAAATAAATGGAAACCACAGTTAAGTATGTACAGTCCATCAAAAGCAGCCTGAATGTCCTTTAATGTTGAAAAGCTGAATGATTTACCAATTCATAAAAAAAAAAAAAAAAAAAAAAATTGAAGATAGCAATAGTTGCTTGGGTTCCGGTGCGGACCAAATATGGAAGTTGGTCTGGTAGCTGGAGAGGTGCCAGATCACTTCCTGAGCAATGCCGAGGTGCCCTTGAACAAGGCACCAAACCCCCGACCCACCATCAGCTCAGGAGTGCCCGCTGTGGGCTTGCCCCCTCACTCAATTAGTGCATGATCCTGTTTGTGCATGTGTGTATATTTCAGCCTATGTGTGTGTTGCATGACTAACAGAGTGTACAAACTGAAATTTCCCCTTGTGGGGATCAGTAAAGTAAATCTTAATCTAATCTTAATCTTATAGACAGCCAGTGTGCCAGTCCATGGTTGGCTGGTTTTGTCTTGTCTGCAACATTAGCTTGCCACTTTACAGGCAAACAGCGTACGTAGACTGAATCTGCCATATGATCCATCTGAGGGGCTTGACAAGTAGTTTGAACAGCTTTGAGGACTGACACATGCAAACACTGGTTGCAGCTATGAAGTCATTACAGAAGGCTGACTGGAGAGTTGAAGATTTTGTCATTTTTTAACCACACGTTGGTAAATTAGGCATCACTCGCAACCAGTTGCTCGCCAGCTGAAATTGATCAACCCAAAGCTTAGCTAACGTTATAAATGTTAACAGTTTCATCCACATACTGTAGCCATCATCTCTGCTCTGTTTGATACAAATGTCTCTACCTCTTGACAAATAAATCTGTTTCTGATTGTCTAGCTAGCTGAGGTTACAGGCTAATGTTAGCCAGCAACCTAACATGTATTAAGGTTTAAGTAGGCCTATCGCTCCCTGTTGGCTTTGAATGCACCCTGACAGAAGTAAGTCAACTCCTCCCCTGGTCCAACCCAGTATATTGCGCTGAGGGTATGTAAAGCACCTGCTGTGGCATCATGGTTTGTCCCTTTGTCTCTAACTGCCTTGAGGTAATGCAGTCGAATGATTGTTTCAATATCTCGTTTTACTGTATATTTTGGTTAGAGGAAAAAAATACTTTCCTATCCACTTTTGTTTGACCTTGATGAAAAATGTCACAAGGTCAGGCAGAGATGTGAAAAAGAGGATAGGAAAAGATAACTGCTGTGAAAAGGGAATGCTACTGCATTTACACTCGCCAGATGTTACAGATGTCACGAGGGTCCGCTGTGTTTACAAAAAGAGTTCATTGATGTGCTCTTACTTGTTTGATGCAGCCAATAGAATCTGAAAAACTTGACGATGAAAATTACCTCATTAAGGGGTTTGTGGCCAGTATAAAGTCGTGTCAATGTATTACAATCATGTGCAATGCTTTTGTAAAAGACACATTTTTATCTGTAACATTAGTTCCATTATAAAGTAGTTCCTGTCTGCACTCACCTGTCTGCTTACCTAGATTAGTTAGTGAGCATTTGTTTGTAGGTATTTGTGGGTGGTAAGTCGGACATCATCACTGCCTGAGGTTTATGTTTATTACAATTTTGTCATGCGGTTTAATTATGTAATATCATTTTTGTAGTCCAGGCCATCTCCCTGTAGAGGATGTTGGTGTCCGGCCTGTGCTGGAGGCTACACACTCAGTCATAATAGTTTGTCTGATTGGGATTGCAGATCGCTGTGAGTAAGTAGCAAGGAGGATGGAGGATGGAGGAGAGAGCATTGCCTTTATCACATATTTCCTGACATGATATTTTTATTTAACCAAATACAGGCTATCTGTTTTGGGGGCTAGGCTGTACAAAAAGGAATTCATTCATTCAAAAAAAAGGAAACTTTCTCTACAGAGGGTAAAACTGCAGGAGCTCCAGCCCCTTTTTTGTGTGCCAGTGCCTGCAGCCACAGATATGAAACAGACTTGAGAGTGCACTCAAAGACATTTCCCAAACATCAAGATATTGCATAAGTAAAAAAGCTTGACCCAGCTTTAGTTAAAAAATGCCAAGCAGGGACTGAATTAATGAATCTCACAGATGACATAAAGTAGCTCTACTGACACGGTGGCCACAGGGGGGTCTGTGTTTTGAATTATATCAGTGCAAAGTCATTTTTTCTTACACCAGCACCTTTCTGTATCCATAAAGCAAATTGGGCAGGGAATAGAAAGCCTAAAGTCATCTTGTGTATCTGTGTGCCTGTGTGTGTCCCTTTTGTAAGAGGCATATGGTGCCTGTCTCAACCTTTGCAAAAGGTTTCTTAAGGTGAGGCTACAGTACTTTAGGATGTTCTGTCTCTGCCAGGATCAGTATTCATTATGTGAGGTACAAATGGGAGAAATTAGATTTCATACAGTTGGTGTGTGTATCTGTATGTGTGTGAGTGAGAGAGTGTGTATGTGTCTTCATGTCTAATAGTCTCCTCACACTTTCCTCAATCAGATTACTCTCCTTCTGTGTCCGCTGCTTTCTGTCTGTCAG